CAAGAAGGATGGGAGGGGAGAGAGACACAGAAACACGACCTGGGCCTGGGTTCCCTTCTTCCTTCCCTGCCAGTGTTGCCCCTCCTGTTTCAGAGATGGTGGTGGGGGTGTCATCAGGCCAGGCCCTGGGGTCAGGAAGGGAGGGGTCTGCCTTGGAGGAGGTAAGTCAGACCCTGGGTTCCTGCCGTCACTCACTAAGGTTTGAGGAAAGCAGGAGCTCATACCTCACCCACTGAGATGGGACACACACACCCCCCAACCTCACCCCGCCCTCAGTTTCCCTCTCTATGCCCCCTGGCCAGGTTGGGGAGATTATCTTTCCCAAGGAGGTGGAGTCTCAAGACCTGGCAGCCCACCCAACCTTTCCCCGATCTTCCAGCATTCCTTCCAAACCTGGATTTCCTAGGAACCCCTCCCTCCTCTCAGCAGAAGGCTTTTGGAGAGAAAGTGGGAACCCTGCCCTTTTAACAGCCTCGCTCTCCCCCGAGGGAGAAGGAGCCCCACCACTGAGTCCCCTTGCCTCCTCAAGGACCCTCCGCCTCTTATTCCCCTCCGCGTGCCCAGTTATTGGCTCCAGCCCCCTCGGCAATGTGCCATGCCATCTTGGATAGCAAAGACCTCTACCTGCTCCCCTTCCAGCTCCTCCTTCCCAAGTATCTGCCCCCCACCCCTTGCTTCCTCTTCAGCTCTTCAGTGTGGGTTCAAACTCCTACGACTGCCCTGGCCCTCACAGCACCTGGCTGGGCACTGTGCTCCCTGCTGTTTGCCCTCGGGGCCCTTCTGCAAGGTCCCCCCTCGGGACACCCAGCGAAGACGGGAGGAGCGGCGCTCGGTGACGGTCTGGCTTCGGGGTGCCCGTGTGGAACCAGCCCCCACGCTGCCCCTTTGGCCTCTAGAAGCCCACCTCTCTCCTCACTGGCGATTCCTCCTCATCTCTTGGATGCATCCTCTGCACGTGATCCCCTCATGTGGGCGCCCATTTTAACTCCACTGAGTCCACTCAGCTGGTGTTTTTGTTGGTTTGTTTGTGTTTGCCTCAGGGTCCACACTGGCAGAAGGGGTGGATCCAGGCCTCTCAGGTCCCCTCTCTGAGCCCACTCCTGTCCCTGTTCCTCCTTGAACTTACTCTTTCAAACCATGGGCTTACTGACCTCGTCACACCCAGTGCACATTAAAACGGCTCCCCACCATTGGTGGGGTGAAATCCATCTCTGGGTCTGGGCCACAGGGCTGGACCAGTCCCCCACTCTCAATGCTCCCTCCCCTCCCCACACAGCCTGCAGACACTGGGCAGGTTCCAGACACAGCCCCGTGGGCCACCCTGAAAGACTCCCCGACTCCAGGCTGATTCAATGCCCCTCCCTGGGGCTTCCCCAGCCCTGGGCCTCGCCTCCCCTTGCCGTGCACACAAATCCCCGTTTCCATGGGTCTCAGAGATGTTTCCCCAGTGCTCAGCGTGCTTGGCATCTAGCGGTCAGCAAATATTTGGTCACAAGTGCTGGAGCACTTGGTGGAAGGCCAGATGGAAGGCCAGATTTCCTGTTGCCTGAGGTATCCCAGTCCAGAGAGGTTGGTGTTAGGTAAGGTGAGGGAGAAGAGCCCATTCGGGGCTCTGCAGAGTCTTCGCTTCTCTGCCTACCACTCACAGGGCACCTCTCAGTCCCTGTATTGCAAGCAGCCCTAGCGCGCGGCCCTCGCTCCAATCCCCGCTTCACGGAGCTGGACCCTGTGGGCGTCAGAGGGGCGGAGCCTGGGGCAGCCCTTCGGGCCACGCAGTCCCACGCACGGCCGGCAGGTGGCGCTGCGCGGCTGCGCTCTGGGCTCCAGCCCGCTGCGCCCCTCCAGCGGCGGGGCGCCTGGGGTGAGTCCCCGGCAGAACCCTGCGGGGTGGGCGGGCTTCCCGCATCACCGCCCTCCTTGGCACTCCAGGTTCTCCCCTTCTCTCTCTCCGTCGGTCTCGTCCCAATTTCTTCCCGTCACTCTGGTCCCGCTGCTCAGTTTTGGGCTCGGAAGAGAGGCCAGGCGTGGTCTGCGGGGGAGCCCTAAGCCTGAGGTCCGTTATCCCGCGGGGCCATCACTGCCATTAGGGAGGGAGGCGGCGCCGGCGAGGAAGCTCTGGGCCATTGCACAGGCCTAAGACACTCCCGGCCATTCCTCCCCCATCTCCCCACCCCCGCCCTCCTACCCCCGTACCTCCTCCCCCAAGAGGCACGAACCCATCCTCTGCCTGTGACCAGGCCTCTCCCCACTGCCACACCCCATGGGAGTCACCGCCCCGGCCCAGGCTCCGCCTATCGCCGGGGTGCTGCAGCGGGGAGCTGGACTCCCAGCTCGGAGGAAAGCCCCCTCCTTGCCCAGGGCGGACCGAGCGACTGTCCAGGGGAGGGGAGCACCGCCAGGTCTCCTGGCCCTCCATCGCAAAGTCCCCGTAGCTAGGGGGCAGGAAAGGGGGAGGACGTGGGGGAGGGGACCGCCCAGACCACCTCCAACCTGACTTCCTTCCGTCTGCTGCCTGCCTCACCGTTCCCCTCCCCTCTTCCTTCCCCAGAGACTCTTAACAGCGCACAGCTGCTGGGCACCTTTCGGCCACGCTCCTGGGCCTCTGCCTTTGCCTGTTCTGCGCCTCTCCTTGCCTCAGGCTGCAGGAAACTTGGGGAAGAGCTTGCCCAGGAGGCTCAGGCTGCAGGAAACTTGGGGAAGAGCTTGCCCAGGAGAGCTGCTGGTCGCCCTTGCTCCAGGCTGTTTTACTTGAGGCCCTCCACTCCAACCCTGCTCCCTCTCCCTCATTCCTGTCCTCCCTTTGGAATTTTTACCTGCATAGACCCTCCCTGTGCCTTTATTTGTTGTTGTTACCCACTTCCTTTGTTACCCACCCCCTTCCTTACTCTTGTTACCCTCCCTTGTGTTTTTTCGGCTTTGGGGCCTCCTTTGTTATTCTTGGATCCAGCCTCTGTGCCTGGCCCCTGGCTGTGACCACATGCCCTGTCCCCCCTCCCTCCAGCGGTGCTGTTCCCATCCGCCTTCCCTTACAGGACGAGTCCTTTGCTGTGGGAGGTAAAAGAAGGCCCAAGGCTGATCAGGAGCTTCTGTCCCAGGGAGTGAAGAGGGGGTCTCTGAGCCTTCTGACCCAGGGGACCCTGTCTGGTGGTCTCTCTTTGGGCCCCCTCCTTCAGCTCTGGCGTGGCCCCAAAGCTACAGGCTGTCAGGTCTTGGATGGTCCCCATTACTCTGGGGTAACCCCTTGGGGTGGTATATGGTAGACTTCACTGCCCACCCTCATCCTCACCGCCTCCTGACGTAGAAGCAGTAGGTTGAGTACAGGGAAGCCATTCAGCGGCCAGACAACCTCTGAGCAGGCAAACAGACAAATGGAGGTGGGAGCCAGCCGGATGGGAGCCTGTGGCAGCATCAGCCAGGAGCTCAGAGCCGGGATGGGGGTGGGGAGTAGCCATGCAGGTTTGGCCTAAGTGGCTTTTATGGGCAGCAGCTGGGGTGTGGACACCCAAAGGGCTTTGGCCCAGGAGGCTGCCCAGAGGCGGGCCGAGCTTGGGTGGGAGCGGGAGCCCGGGCTGAGGGCCCTGGAGAAGCAGCAGGACTGGCCCTGCGCAGAGCCTGCTCCTGCCCCAATGGGGAGCTGTGTGGGCCGGTGGTGCCTGACTCCTGGGGACCAGGTATGTGCTGGGGAGGGGTCCCCGGAGGGAGGGGGAACCAGTTGTCTTCCAGTATCTGAAGCTGGGAAGAGTGTGGACTTGGAATCTCTGAACTCTCAGCTCAAGAGGAGCTGGGGAACCCGGCCTGAGACCTCCCTTCTCCAGACCTCAGTCCTGACCTGTAAAATGGCCTGAGCCGTGTAGGGAGGTTCCAGGTAACGTGCACTCAGAGGCAACGATTCTCCACTGTGACGATTGTTGTTTGGTTGGCAGAAGGGGGCACTCCTTCCGGGAGGAGGCAGAGGCTGGGGAGAGTGAGGAGGGAGGCGGGGGAGGACTGGGGGCAGAGTGGGGGAGCTTCACTGGTCCCCACGTATGAAAACAGCTCCTGTGAGTGCTGACCACGGGCCTGGGCTCAGACACGAAAGTTCTCAGCACCTTATATCCCAGGCCAGGATGGGGAGGGGGTAGCAAAGACCCAGAACTTCTCATCGCAGCCAGACAAGGGTACTTCCTCACCCCACCCTTCCGCCTGTTTGGCCACCGACAACGGGCAGAGGTCCCCCCGGCACAGGGAGAGGATGCTGGGAATGCATCCGAGTCAACACACACGACACAGATCAGGGCAAACACTCCTGGGGAGGGCCAGGCAGTCACTCAGGTACTGGCCTCAGTAGATAGGGAGGGAAGGGCTGCCCTCATGGCACTTCCAAACCTCTCCTCTTGCCTGGGACCGTCCTGGGACTGCGCTGGGCCAGGGCAGCTGTGGGCACAGGAGGGCCCAGATTCACGGACAGCGGTGCTTGCCAAGGAGCGTGGGCAGAGCTGTGACCCTTGTTGTTACCCTTTGTCTCCTGTGTGGGACTCCTTGGGCCCTAGGAGCCTTCTCCATCCCTCTCCCACCTCCCTATCTTGGTGCAGTGCCCTGCATGCAGTAGGTGCTCAATAAACGCGCCTGGAACAGCAGGCAAAGGCGCTGACGCCAAGGAGGCTGTCCGGAGTGGGAGCGAGGCAGCGGGGTTCCCGGGGATTCTGAACCCCCCGTTCCTGCAGCCAGCCTTCCCCCGGGCTCCCCAGGCCTGGCAGGGCGCCGAGATAGGGGCGAGGCCAGGATGGCTTGGGCCCAGGGCGGGGGCGGAGGGGGCGGGGAAGGGGCGGTGCGGGGGCGGTGTCGCAGCCCGAGCTCCGGCCCCAGCCCGAGGCGACGGGAGCCGATCGGGAGGCGCGGAAGCCAACGCCGGGTCCCCAGCGCCGCCGGCCGCCGTCGCCTCCGAGCCGCCCGCGCCCCCGGCCTGCCGCCCGGGCTGGGAGCGCCAGGCCAGCCCCCGGCCCGCGGCGGAGAGCAGCGCCATGGCCACCCCGGAGCCGCTGCGGCCGCGCCTGTGCCGCCTGGTGCGGGGCGAGCAGGGCTACGGCTTCCACCTGCACGGCGAGAAGGGCCGGCGCGGGCAGTTCATCCGGCGCGTGGAGCCAGGCTCCCCGGCCGAGGCGGCCGAGCTGCGCGCCGGGGACCGCCTGGTCGAGGTCAACGGCGTCAACGTGGAGGGCGAAACGCACCACCAGGTGGGTGCCCGCGCCCCGGCCCGGCCCGCCGGGGGCCCCCTCCCCGGGAGCGCGACCCTGGAGGTACCCGGGGCCACCCGCGCGCGCCCAGGCCTCTGCTCCCCGCGCCCGGCCGGGAGGGGGTCTCCCCGGGGCCTGCTGTCCCCCCCATCCCCGCCGGAGGAAGTGGGGGACGGGGCCACGGAGGCAGCGGCCGTCGGCCTCCTTCCCAGTCCCCCACCCCCTGAGCTCAGCAGGCCTGCACCTCGGAGGGGGAATCCTGGCAGGGAGGGCCCCGCACTGCGGTCTGGATCTTTGGGCTTGTGCTGGCCTGGGTGGACCATAGGGGACGGGCAACTTGTGTACAAGCTTGTACACTCATCCAAGTGTGAGTGTGAGGGTGCAGGTTTCTCAGAGGATCTCCCATGTGGGCAGACAACTATCTGCGAGTATGTGGATCCAGGAAGTGTCACAGTAAGGGGGCACACCTGTGTGTGCCCGCATCAGAGAGTGTGTACGGGCTGGACTGTGTGCATGTGAATATACTACAGGTCTGCACCTAGGTGTGTGTGTGTGTGTGTGTGTGTGTGTGTGTGTGTGTGTATACAGGTCTGTTTGCTTGGACATGTGTATGTGAGCTGAGATGTGTGTTGGACATGTGTGTGAGCTGGTCTGCACGCCTGGATGTGTGTGAGCTGCACTGTGTGTGTGTGTGTGTGTGTGTGTGTGTGTGTGTCCAGGCCTGCAGGCTGACCCGCTTGGCTGTGTGGAGTCGTCAGTGTGTGTTGGCAGCCAGGGCACTCGTGGGTGTGTTGGGCCGATGGTGCCTGGATCCCAGCGGGAATCACTGCTGGTGACAGCACATTCCTCTCCTTGGAGGCTGCCTGGCCCTGCAGGTGTCACCGGGCCGCAGCCCCCGCCTCCTGCAGCTGGAGATGCAGGCCGGAGGGGGGGCAGGGTCCCTCTCTGCAGGCTCTGACTCCCGAGGGTGGCCATCTCCCACGGCCAGGGATTCACTGGCTTGTGTACAGCCGCTCCCGCTCAGGCTCCTCCGTGTCCCCCCTGCACCTCAGCATCCATGATCCGTTTGGGTGCCCGGCCCTGGGGGCTAGAGATGAACATATTGGTCCTTGGCTGGGACGGGAGCTGAGCTCCTGGGCCCTTGTCTACCCATCTGTCTGCTGTCCTGTCTTCCGCCCAGAATGTCAACCTGATAAGGCTGTTTGCTGAAGGAAGGTGGGGGTCAGGGCTAGAGGGCTCGGCTTAACAGACCACAGGGAGAGGCTGGCAAAGGTGGCACCTGATCACTGTTTAACCGCCAACTGCCACCCCTGCCCCTGCTGGTCCCAGGCTTCTGGGTGCTGGTTGAACAACTTCACCAGCCCTGGCTGGGTAGCAGAGATTAAAAAAAAAATCTCTCTCCTCTCTCTCAAATAAAATAAAAAATAAGTACTTCAGCCCTGGCTGGTGTGGCTCAGTTGGTTGCACTGAAAGGTCGCTAGTTCTGTTCCTGCTCAGGGCATGTGCCCAGGTTGTGGGCTTGATCCCCGGTGGGGGTGCGTGCGGGAGGCAACCAATTGATGTCTCTCTCTCTCTCTCTCTCTCTCCCTTTCCCTCTCTCTCTGAAAATGAATTTTAAGAACATTTAAAACATTTTAGAACTCCACACACAGGACCCCCTGGGATCCTCCTCCCGGGAGGGAGGACATGCAGTCATAGCTCCCATCCTACAGATGAGAACACTGATGCCTGGAGATGTCGAGTGACTCCTTTGGTACCACAGCTGGGAAGCAGCAGGGTGCTGAGTGGGGAGAGAGGAGGGGAGGGAAACACGGGGCTGGTTCAGCCCCTCCTCTCTGCTGACAGCTTCTGCCAGGCAGCTGGTGGGAGTCCCGTCTGCCCTCCCCAGGCCTTGGGGTGGGGATGGGGATGTTGTCCTTCTTACTCCAGTGCGCAGTGCTCCCTCTCCCTGCAAGGCTTACTCTGGCCGGCGTGCCCCATGGACACCGCATGCTCTGGACACACAGGCACCCGCACAGACACACAGATGGGCCCATATCACACGTGCCCCCGGTTGGACCTGCCCCTCCACGCCTCTGCCTGCTGGTCTGGATCCTGCTCACAGCATCCCGTGTGGTGCCTGAGCGGTGCCTTGCCTGCAGGTCCAGCGGGAATGGATCTGTGCTCGTGGTCTGGAGCAAAGAGAGGGCCTAGAAGCTGGGATTTAGACTTCCGTGCTCCACCGCTGAGAGAAACAGAGATTGGCACCGACACGCCCAGACTGACACCAGGGAGATGCCTCTCTCTGAAACCCAGACGGAGGACAGACCGACACAGATAGACGCACGCCTGCACAGTTGCCTCACCCAGCTTCCCGCCCCTCCTGGAGGGACCCTGGGCTGAGGCACGGCCTGGGACCACACTGAGGCCCTTGTCGCCTGGGCCCTCCTGTCCGGAGCCCCGGGAGAGGAGGGAGGGAGCTGCTGAGGCCGGGGGTGGGGGGTGGAGCCTGCTGGCCTCTTGGTCCAGCCACCCACCCACCCCGAGTGGGTCAGCCTGGGCCAGCCTTGGGTGGTGCCACTGTCCATGTGCTGCCCGGAGAGCTGGCTGCTGACCCACCGCCACCTGCCTGTCCCAGGTGGTCCAGAGGATCAAGGCCGTGGAAGGGCAGACCCGGCTGCTGGTGGTGGACAAGGAGACGGACGAGGAGCTGCGCCGGCGGCAGCTGACCTGCACCGAGGAGATGGCCCAGCGAGGGCTTCCGCCTGCTCAGGACCCCTGGGAGCCCAAGCCGGGCTGGACATGCGCAGGCAGCCTTGGCTCCAAGGATGGCCAGAAGGTATGGTAAGACTCTGCCCACAGGGACCACCCTGGCTTCTCCCAGAACCGTCTTGGCCTCTCAAGGGCAGTCTCTGTTTCCGGTTCCCTCCAGTCCGGTTCACTGTCTCAGTCTCTTCTGCCTCTTAGGGCCCTTCTTTGCCCCTGGTGACTCCCCTCTTGGCTGTCCTCTGTCTGTGTTAGCTGGGTAGGGTGAGGGCAGCCTGGCCATTCGCCCCCAGCCCTCTTCCAGGATGCTCAGAGCCACCTGGTCTAGGTCGGGGCCTCTCTGACAAGGCCCCCTCCCCAGTCGAGGGGCTGAAGAACCCAACCAAGGGAGGGGCTGCTCGGATGCCCTGGGGCTATGAGCCCAGCTCTGTGCCTGCATCTGGTGTTTCTCCATCCGGCTCTGTCCCTGCGTCTGTCTCCGGGCACCTGGTTGTTCTGTGACGGCCTTGGGGGAGGGGGCTGGCCCTCCTCTGCGGACGGCGTGTGGTTGGGGGCACCAGAGCAGTCTCCTCTCTAAGCTGAGTCCTCATCTGATGGTTTAGAGGCTGGGCACCCCCCTCTTCTCCCTACCCTCTCCCCGTCCTCAGGCTGGAAGAGCTGGGAAAGAATTCACCTCCTTCTAGGTTTGGGGGGAGTGGGGGGTGACGGTGGGGGGAGCCGGGCGCCGTGACCCTGTCTGGGAAGCATCCGGACACTGGGAGGAAGAGCCTGGGGCTGCTAGTCCTCCCTCCTGGAAACCCCATGTGAGTGTCTCTCATGTCCTCTCTCCCGTTTTTATTTTATTTATTTTTTAAAATATATTTTATTGATTTTTCACAGAGAGGAAGAGAGAGGGATAGAGAGTTAGAAACATCGATGAGAGAGAATCATCGACCAGCTGCCTCTTGCACACCCCCCACTGAGGATACGCCCGCAACCAAGGTACATGCCCTTGACTGGAATCGAACCCGGGACCTTTCAGGCCCCAGGCTGACGCTCTATCCACTGAGCCAACCCGGTCCGGGCCTGTTTTTATTTTTTAAGAAAAAAAATCAATCCCTTTAGGAGATTCAAGGCCAGGGGTTCCCCGGATCCCACTTTGAAGACCACTGGCCTAAGCCCAGTGGGGGTGTGAGAGCTGAAGTTTTAGGTGTGCAGGGGACCCCAGCGCCTGCCTGACTCTGTGCCCGGGACCTTTTCGTTCCTAAGGGGCATGTGTGCTCAGGGACAGAGACCCCCTGGGTGGGCTGGAGGGGAGCGCTGTCTCAGGCGTCTGGTGCCAGGCCCTGCAGCTTGCATTTTGACCTGGGGCCAGCAGACGCTGGACGAGGGGGTGTTAGGGTCCGATGTGTGATTGCGTGGGGGGGGGGGGGGTCCTGGGATGGCATGCTGGCTGAGCCCCTCCCAGGCCCGCGGGTTGAAGCATCTCGCATGCCACCCCAGGAAGTGCCCCTCCCTCCAGACGTTTGTCCATTGACTCGGACACAAACGGCTGAGTTCACCTTCCTGTGGAAAAAATTCTCCCTCGGCCTTATCTCCAGGACGGGGTGGCCCACCTAGTCCCTGGGTGGAGCCTTCCCCACTGCTATTTCAGGCGCTGGGGCCGCAGGAAGCCCTGGGAGGGGGCTTCCTCTGGGTGTATTTTTAGAGGAGCAGAGCGGGCCTGACTGGCAGGTTCCCTGGGGCCGGAGGATAGAGACCCCACTTCTGTTGGCTGAACTCAGGTCGTCAGAAGGAGGCACCGGGGCTGGGGGTGTGGGTGTGGGTGTGGGGTGTGTACAATGCTTGCGTGCAGGGCTCTGCTCTGAGGGGGTGAGGGGAAGTGTGGGGTTTGCTTTGGTGCAGGATGAAGGGCCCACCCCTCATGCCCCTGGGAGGTGAGGACTGAGCTGGAGGCAGGGCCCTGGAGGGCCACTGATACCCTGTCAGCCTGTTACCTCCTGTCCTGGGGCGGGGAGGAGAGACGGAGCCGGGGAGGACACTAATGGGGGCTGTGGGGGGCTGTCGGGGCCTTGTCAGGGATGACTCAGTCCCAGGCCAGACGCGGCTGGGGTGGCTGCATGGAAGATAGTGATGAGAGGGCACAGCCCCCCAAGAGCCAGGGCAACCAGCAGCCAGTGGTGCCAGGTGAGGGCACTGGTAGACCCCGGGCCCTCCTCGGTAGGAAGTCTGGGCCCCACCCTCTGGTTTTGGAGGCCCTTGGGGGCTGAGCGTGAGTGAGTGGTGGCTACAAGAGGGCTTCCGGGGCTCCTCGCTCCTGCCTCTGCCCCGGGAGCTGCAGCAGGACTGTCTCCTATGCTGGGTCAGGCTCCTCTCTTACCTCCCTGTCTCCCCAGCCGCGAGTCCTGGGAGCTGGGCAGGGCCTTCCAGCAACTTCCTTCCCTTCTCGGGACGGGTCGGAAACCTAGTCAGTAGGGGGGGGGAAAGGAGGGGCTGGGCTGGCGCCTGAATCAGGGAGGGGGGCTCCGCCACCACCCTGTTCCCCAGAGTGACTCAGCCCCCTGTCCCCATCTGTCCCTGGGGAGCCTGGGCCGCAGTGGGAGGTAGATAAACGGGGTGGCAGCCTGGGCCAGCCAGAGAGCTCAGGCCACGCCGGCTGGATGCTCACTGTCGGCCACTTCCATCCCGCCTCCATGGCCCACTCCTGGAATTCCCCGCCGCCCGCCCAGGTCTCAGGAGCCCCTCCAGCGAGCCCATCCCAGGGGCTTGTGCAGGTTAGGGGTGGTGGGGGACGGGGGGGCAGTGAGGACCCCAGCAGCCCGTTTAGCCTGTGCCCCCAGGGTTAGGAGAGGGGACCCTGGTGTGAGCACGCTGGACCCTGAACAACAATGGGGCTTTTCTCAGCCAGTGCTGGTGAGTCACCATCTGGGGGGGGCACAGCCTGGCTCCTGGGGTACCCCCATGCCAGCCTCTTTGTCTGGTTACAGGCACAGCTGGGAGGCCAGGGCTTGTCCAGTTCTGGGGCGGCCCTGCTGGGAGCCGTGGGAGCCTGAGGGCCTGGCTGGGAGAGGGCAGGAAGTGCTCGGAGCCAGGGCTGGGAGTGAGGAATGTGAGCAATGCGCGGCCGCCTGCGCCCCCTCCAGACCCACTGTGGCTGCTCTCGCGCGGGGCCCCCCTGCCGGGCCGTGGCACTGCAGCCCCTCGGGTGTGCGTCCAGTGCCAGGTATGGGGCTCCGTGGCCCTGGTCTCATTAGGAGAGAGATTAGAGCTAGACATTCGGAGAAAACTCCTGGCTGAGTGTGAGAGGCAGCTGTGCTGGATTGAGGTAGGGATGGCCAGTATGGTGTTGAACCCAGATGTGACTTCAGCCTGGCCTTCTGGCCCGGGATGCCCCCAAATCTGTGCCCCCTCCCAATTATTTTGGGGGTTCTTGACAGATCCCTCCCTGGAGGTTCATGTGGGGGGTGTAGGAAGAGGCCACAGGGCCCAATAGCACGCCTTGGGGCCGTCCTTTCACAGGTGTGGGTGGCCTTATGTGTCTGTGTAGCGTGTTGGCGAACATATGTTTGGGTGTCTGGTCTCTTCGACCGGGTGATGTGCCCCTGCTACCTGGACCCATGCCCACACTCCAGGCACGGTCATGTCCAGGTCCAGGCTCCATGCTTGGCCCTGGCCCTGGCCCTACTCTGTCCCAGCCAGCCTTGGGGGGCCGTGCTCAGCGGCCTGGGCTTAGAGGTGCCTCTGGGGAGGTGTGGGCCCTCCTCAGAGCTGCACACTTGCACCTGCAGGTGTGTCTGTGAGTCTCTCACCCTCCAGTTCAGACCCTGTTGCCCAGCTGAGGCCCCGGGGAGCTGAGGAGCAGCAGCTCTGTCCCTGGCCTGCAGTGGGGGTCCCCAGGGGGCTCTAGGCAGTCTCTGGGGGTCAGGGAAGGGGTCTTGGAGGAAGGGCACAGGCTGGACAGGAAGAGGATGCTCCTGACAGGCAGGAAGTGCCTGGAGGAAAGACACTTTTGCTCCCACAACTGGGTGGCCACCAACTGGCAAGCCAGAGCATTCACGGTCAGATTTGGGGTTTGGAGTCAGGTTGCAGGCCCCAGGTTGGAATGGCTCAGGGGGTGGGCGGGGCTGTGGGGGGGGAGGTACCCAAGGCCTGGAGACCTTCCCTGAAGGTCACCCCCTAGCCTGACCCAGGGTCCCCCCTGCACCCTTAAGGGAGGGGCCTGGTGACTGGTGAGCACCCTTTCACCGGCACGCGCCCTGGAGCCCCGAGCATCCAGGAAACCTGAGCCGCTGCCTGCCCGCTCACTCCGGCCACCGCCATGTTTAATTGAGCACCGGCCGCTGCTGGCCACTCGGCACTGTGGTCCCTGACGGCCCCGGGCCCCGGCGGGGTGGGGGTGCTGGGGCCTGGCTCCTGCCGGCAAGGCTCCCTGGCCACGGCCCTCCTGCAGGATGCCAGAGGTAAAGCGAGGCAGGGCCCTGGGATGTAGGTGGGGGACCCTCAGGGCTCCACAGGCCCCTGGGTCTCAGCAGGGCGGGTGCAGGGCAGGCTCCCGCCTCGGGCCTGTCCCTGGGCTCCTGCCTCTGCAGCCCAGCCGGTCATCCTCCCATCCTCCGTCTCTGGGCGAGGAGGGGGTAGGGTGGAGGTGAGGGTGGCTCCAGCTTGCTCTGGAATGTGAAAGCAAACACAGTCGCACTGCCACCAGCCTGTGGGAGAGAAAACAAAACTGCCGAGAGCTGAGGACTCTGCGAGCCCTGCACTCGCAGGGGAAGTGGGGGAGGGGGCTGCAGGCAGGGCCCGTGAGGACGGCCTGGTGTGTCTGTGTAGCATGTTTGTGAACATATGTTTGTTTGGAGAACTGGGACTCTGAGCTGAGTGGCAGCGCGTCTCGCCTGGCCTCTCCTAGGACGCTGGCCTGAGCTCAGTGCTGTCCTGGCCTCTTCACTCTCCCATCGTCCCTAAGGAGTCATTTTGGGGTTTGGGAACTGAGACTGTGCAGCTGGAGCTCAGTCACAGGCAGCCCATGCCACCCCCACCGGGTGTGGGCGTGCGGTGTTTGTCTCTGCCACTGGGCAGGCCTGATGCCCAGTGTGGGGTTGTGGCTCCCTCCTGCTCAGCACACTGCTGTGCTGCACGCGGGGGGAACAGGGGGGCAGAGGCTTTGAGGGTGTCAGTGGCCTCTGGGCAGGGAGACCGGAGCTGAAGGTTGTCCCGTGTGCCTGCAGGAGGTCAATGGGCCCCCGAGGGAGCTCCGCCCAAGGCTCTGCCACCTTCGAAAGGGCCCTCAGGGCTATGGCTTCAACCTGCACAGCGACAAGTCCCGGCCAGGACAGTACATTCGCTCGGTGGACGTGGGCTCGCCGGCCGCCCACTCCGGCCTCCGTGCCCAGGATCGACTTATTGAGGTACCACCCCCAAGGCTTTGGGGGGGCTGGTGCCTATGTTTGTCTGTGCCCGTGTCCCCGTGTGCATGTCTGTACCCATGTCCCCTTGTGCATGTCTGTGCCCGTGTCCCCTGTGTGCATGTCTGTGCCCGTGTCCCCTGTGTGCATGTCTGTGCCCGTGTTCCTGTGTGCATATCTGTGCCCGTGACCCCTGTGTGTGTGCATGCCTGTGCCTGTGTCCCCTGTGTGTGTGCATGTCTGTGCCTGTGTCCCCTGTGTGTGTGCATGTCTATGCCCGGGTCCCCTGTGTGTGTGCATGTCTATGCCTGTGTCCCTGTATGCATGTCTGTGCCCATGTCCCCCGTGTGTGTGCATGTGTGTGTGCATGTCTGTGCCCGTGTCCCTTGTGTGTGTGCATGTCTGTGCCCATGTCCCCCATGTGTGTGCATGTCTATGCCCGTGTCCCTGTGTGCATATCTGTGCCCGTGACCCCTGTGTGTGTGCATGCCTGTGTCTGTGTCCCCTGTGTGTGTGCATGTCTATGCCCGTGTCCCTGTGTGCATGTCTGTGCCCATGTCCCCGTGTGCATGTCTATGTCTGTGTCCCCTGTGTGTGTGCATGTCTGTGCCCGTGTCCCCTGTGTGTGTGCATGTTTGTGCCCATGTCCCCTGTGTGTGTGCATGTCTATGCCCGTGTCCCTGTATGCATGTCTGTGCCCGTGTCCCCATGCGTGTGCATGTCTGTGCCCGTGTCCCCCGTGTGTGTGCATGTCTGTGCCCGTGTCCCCTGTGTGTGTGCATGTCTGTGCCCGTGTCCCCCGTGTGTGTGCATGTCTGTGCCCGTGTCCCCCGTGTGTGTGCATGTCTGTGCCCACGTCCCCCGTGTGTGTGCGGGCCCAGGTCCTCCCTGGGAGGAGGGGACTTTCTGGGAACTTGAGCTGGCATTCCTCCTGCTGCCGTGGCTGGTGACAACATCGATGAATATTTGATGCCACACCTGGCCGGGCGGCTCGGGGGGCGGGTGGGGGCCTGCCCTCAGGCTGCCCTGTGCTGCCGGCGGCAGGTGAACGGGCAGAACGTGGAGGGACTGCGCCACGCCGAGGTGGTTGCCAGCATCAAGGCGCGAGAGGATGAGGCCCGGCTGCTGGTGGTGGACCCGGAAACGGACGAGCACTTCAAGAGGCTGCGGGTGACACCCACCGAGGAGCACGTGGAGGGTGGGTGCCGCCCTGGGGGTCCCGGGTGGGAGGGGGGAGCGCGGGGGCTGCGGGTGACGCCCACCGAGGAGCACGTGGAGGGTGGGTGCCGCCCTGGGGTCCCGGGTGGGAGGGGGGAGCGCGGGGGCTGGGCAGCCCTTGACACACTGTGCCCCCCACAGGTCCACTGCCGTCCCCTGTCACCAATGGGACCAGCCCTGCCCAGGTGAGAGGATGGGTGGGGTGGGCTGGTGGGTCCAGGACACTGGAGTGGCCCCTCTAGGAGTCCCCAAGCCTGACAGAGCTCCCCCACATTTGTCCTTGTGTATGTGAGGTTGTGACGCCCAGTCTGGCCGGACACTCCCGGCTGTAGCGCCCTCTGTGGATCCTGTCCTGGGCCGGCCACACCCCAGCCCCACACGGCACTCGGCCCCGGGGCTACTGCCCTGGCTGTTCCCTCTGCCCAGCGCGGTCTGGCTACCTGGAGTGTCCGTCTCTCCTCAGGGAGCTTCCCTGGCCTCGCCCCAGGTGCCGCGCATGGGGGTGATTCATGCATCAAAATAGCTCCTCCCCATTGTGCATTGGCCAGGGCCGGGCCGCCTGCCTGTTCACCCTTTAGTGCCCAGTGTCCTACCTACACTAAGCCTGGAGCATGGCAGAGGCTCGGTGCCCACTGCCGAATGGAGGAATAAATGCAGCTCTGTGTGTTTGTGTGTGCGGGTGTGTGTGCGCGCTAGTGACAGGGCAGGGCAGGGCCTCTGAAGCTACCACACCTTGCCCTTGGTTCCCCAGCTCAGTGGTGGCTCAGCGTGTTCATCCCGAAGTGATCTGCCTGGCTTAGACAAGGACAGTGAGGTAGCAAATGTCCATCCACTTCCTCTGCCGTGCTCACACTCTGGGGGGGCCAGAGAGGCCTTCGGGGTGGGTATGTATGGAGCTTTCCACCTGGGCAGCGGGGCCACTGCCTCCAGGAAGCCCTCCTGGGCTCGCTGCCTCAGCCCCACCAGGCGGCCTCTGGCGTGAGCTCCCTGGAAAGGGTTATCAGTGTGGGGGCTTGGGCCCGGGGCTCACTCTGGCTACCTGTCCGCCCCGCCCCCCAGGGCCGCAGCGGCTGGAAGCACGACCCTTTCCAGGAGAGCGGCCTCCACCTGAGCCCCACGGCGGCTGAGGCCAAGGAGAAGGCGAAAGCCACCAGGATCAACAAGCGGGCCCCGCAGATGGACTGGAACCAGAAGCGTGAGATCTTCAGCAACTTCTGAGCCCCTCGCCGCCTGCGCGCTGGCCCGGGCCTTCTCCCTGCACGGACTTCGGGCTCCCTCCTCGGGCCCGGAGCAGAGCTCCTGCGCCTCAGTGGATGGAGGAGGCGCATCCCACCCCCAGAAGCCGTGGTGGTCCCGCCGCTGCCGCCGCCCAGTGAGCCCCTGTCCTGACCCCCCTGCCGTTCTCCTGGGTGCTGGGGGAGCGCGGCAGCCAGACTGGGGAGAGGGAGCCCCGATGTGAGAGACGCTGAGAGAGGGAGAAGCAGGGTGACCCCGGGGCCGGGCCTCTGCGGCTCTGCCCGGGCCCCTGCTGACTTAAAGGAATGTGTGGTTTTGCTTTTTTTTTTTTTTTTTTTTTCCAAAAAGAGCTCCAGCTCCACACATGTTTTCACTTAATACCAGAGCCCCGCCCCCGCCAGGACATGTTCTCTAAATAATTGCAATAAAACAAACCTTTCTCTACAAACCGTTTCCTCCCCACCCCTTCCTCCTTGGCAGCAGCCGGGCCGGTGGGAGTCCCGGGAACTTCCTGGGGCAGCGGTAGTGGGCAGGCTGTTCGAGGGGCGTCAGGTGAGGCTGGGGGGCCAGATGTGGCGACAGAAGCTTCCCCCCACCCTCGTCTTTGCCTTCCCTGGTGTGGGGGTTCGCAGGCCAGGTCCCCCATGTCCCCACCACACCGGGGGCCTGGGAGGCAGGTCTGGGCTCCCGGAGGGGCCTGAGGATGGAGGCCTCCTGCCCCGGAAGAGGGCAGGCTCCTCTGCCGCGGCCCCCAGGCTCGGGGAGTGTGGCCGGGGGAGAGCCCACCCCAGGGGTGACTCCAGGCTCTGGGCTTGGCCCCTGCCTGGCGCCCTCCCCGGCAGACCCCACGGACCCTGCCCTGAAACCCACCCACATCGCTGTCTGCCCTGCAAGCCATAGCGCATCCCCGCCCTCGGAATAAACCCACCTTCCTCACACCCTGGCTGCCTCTGTGCTTCCTCGGGGGGCGGGGGATGGCGGCCACGCAGGAAGGTAGCAGCCCAGCAGCCCCAGCCCCGAATCTCCGCCGCTGGAAACGGTCTCGTTCTTTGTTTTTAATCCTTACCCGAGGATATTTCCCCCCCCACTGACTTCTAGAGTAGAAGGGAGGGAGGAGGGGGGGAGAGACACATTGATTGGTTGCCTCCTGCACAGGCCCCCACCGCCTGGGGAACCTGCAACTGAGGTACCTGGCCTTGACTGGGAATCAAACCCACAACCCATTGGTCTGCGGGCCGCCGCTCTAACCACTGAGCAACAGGTCTCATTCTTAAACCTCCTCTCTCGGAATCCATCCACCTCGAAGCCAAGTCCCAACTCTTCTCAGCTCTTGCTTCCCTCTCCCCCTGCCCTCACGGGACTTGGGATCCCTTCCTCTGGAGCCCTGCCCTCCTCTCACCCGAGGCCCTTGCTCACCTTCTCTTCCTGGTGAGGCCCAGCTGCCTTGCCAGCACCTCCTCTGTGAAGCTTTCTGGGCCCCTGGCACCCCTGCCTTCATATAGCAGGTAAAGGTCAGGCCTCGTGCCCCGTGGCACCCAGCCTGCCTTCCCGGTGTTCTTAAGAGGCCAGGTGGCTCGGTAAGCACTGGGGATAGGGCCTCTGGCAGCGGCAGGCTCTCAGGGTGCACAAGTTCAGGAGAGGGGTGTTTCTGGGCCCTCCGCCAGCAGCTGAGGGAGGGAGGAAGCCCAGGCCTCCAGCGTCACCAGCAGCTTCTCAACAGCTGGCCCCAGCTGGCTCCCATGATCCATGTCTCCAGCAGGAGCTCCTGCGCCCACCCCCCACGTACACAGCCCAGGCTGTCACGTCCACATGCTGGGCTCCCTAGGGCAGGAGTCAGACAGATCCCAACTATTACAAAACCCCAAACTTTATTATGAACAGCTCCCCCACAAAGTCGCAGAATAGACGTGGCCTTCCGAGTCCCGTGCAGCTGGGATCAGGGCTTCAGAGTCCCTGTGCGGATGGACACAGGGTCTGGTTGAGGCAGGTCTGGCATCGAGGGCGCACAGGCAGACAGATCTGCTGGCCAAAGCCCACCAACAGTCCGTTAACCTCATGCCACAGGTCCCTGTGTGTGGGGGGGAGAGGGTTAATGCAGAGCGAGAGAGGGAAGGAGGGAAGCCGAAGGGGAGACCACCCTCCCTGCGGCAGCACCTGGGCAGCCAGTCCTCCAGGGCTGCACGGGTCTGCTCCGGGGACTTGGTCACCTTCCTGGTCCACCGGAGTCGGTTGGCGATTCTGTGCACGTGCGTGTCCACTGCTGCTTGGAGACAGGGTGGCGTGAGTGTGGGGCAGGTCCAGACACCCCGTTCTTGCCCGTGGTCCCACCCATGAGCCCAGGTTGGTGAGTGGCCCTGGCTTCCCACCCAGAGCTCTGAGGGCCCCTAACTGCACAGCACTGGCCAGACGTGAGGGTGGGTCACCAGGCCACCACTGCTGCTGGGCAGGGCTGCAGCCAGGAGGATGCGGGCCCTCATGTGGGGTGCAGGGGGCAGTGCCTCTTCACCCAGCCGCTGGCTGTGGTGCCAGCAGGAGGCTGCTGCCTGCAGAGCCAGCACTTGTAAGGAACAGAGGGGGCAGCCCGGCCAGGCCAGCTGCAGCCCCTGCTCCGCTGTACAGCCACCCCAGGGCCCAGCCTGGGCATCCAGTCACCCAGGCCCCCTTGCCCAGCTACCTGCCATCCCTCTCCTCCTAAATGTCAAGGAGAAAGCCGGTCCCTGCATCAGCTTTCTGTCCTGCTGCTAACAAGCCCAGGGAGAGGGTTCCTCCCTTGGATCCTCCTGCCTCAGTTTCCCCTTCCGTAACATGGAGGTGACTGTGCTCCTGAGGCCCAACCAAGGGCCACACCACTCTGTGGGAGCCTCCTGTGGGCTGGTCCAGGAGGGCCACTGTGTCCCCTGCTTTGTGGCCGAAGCTCAGAGGGGCCAGGCGCCTTGCCCAAGGCCACCCAAGTGGGGAGGCAGAGCTGGGATCAGCTCTCTCATGAGGCAGCTTCTCCTGGGGAAGCCCCTGGGAGGCAGAGCCTGCTCTCCCCAGGGTTTCCCCATGGGTGACCAGAAAGGATGACATTCTGACCCGCCGGTTAGGGCGGCGGGCAGGGGGCCCTTCACCCACGGACCTGCCAGACCGCTCCCGGGAAAGAGCAGCCGAGGACGGCTGCCCAGATAAGCTCAGGATTTGCTGAGAGGTGGCATCTTCAGGAGCCCTAGGGGAGGCTCTGCCCGGCCCCCTCCTTGGCCCAGCTCTGGCTCTCCGGGGCTGCCATCCCTCGCTGCCTGTCTACTCATGGGCAGTGCTGGAAGAGGGCCCCCACCCAGGGGGCAGGCTACACAGGCTGTGGAAGCTGAGGGGATTCCCACCCCTTCCCAGCCCCGCCTTCTGGAAGCCCAGAGAGGCACTGTGGCTGGAGAGGTTACGGGTCAAACCTTGATTTCTGGGTGGGCCGGGCCTGCTGCTGGGGCCTCAGAAGCCCCAACTCTCTGGGCAAAGACCTCAGGAAGCAGCCGCTGCACCCTGACCCAGTCTCCACCCAGAGATCCTCCGATGCCGGGCTGCTAGGCCCGGACCCAGGAAAGGGATTCCAGGAAGAGGCTCCCCCACTCCCAGCTCTCCTCCCCATCCTCCTAGCCCCGTTGTTGGCAAACTGTGACTCGCGAGCCACATGCAGCTCTTTGGCCCGTTGAGTGTGGCCCTTCCACAAAATACCACGGCCTGGGCGAGTCTATTTTGAAGAAGTGGCGTTAGAAGGAGTTTGAGTTTGAAATTTAATCGTCGTACTGTTGATATTTGGCTCTGCTAACTAATGAGTTTGCCGACCACTGGCCTAGCCCATCCCTCCTCTCCCTGGGTTCCCCTGTCTTCACAACATCACCCTAATCTGCCCACACTCATTCCAGAGTCTCCTGCTCTGGTCCTCTCTCCCACCTCATGGTTTAGCAGATGCTGTTCTTCTGCCTGGAACATTGCTCCTCCTCTTGGCCCCGCCTTACCCTTCAGCTCTTGGATGAGTTATCACTTCCGCAGACACCGCGTCCACCCCCGGAGCCCAGCACAGAGTAGGTGCTCAGCAGATGGATTAGTGCTCATCTCAGGCGGGACAGGCCTCGCTCGGTGCTGGCAATATCTTTCTGACCCTTTGGGCCGAGTGGTGGGTGAGGAGACCTGAACTGGGGTTACCGGTCAGAGGGTGTGGGGAACCCTGACAGCAGTCAGCGAGCTCGGAGCTGGCCCCACCCTCCTCGTGGGCACATGCCACTCACCGATGCCTGACACAGTTCCCCAGGCCACGGCCATGGCCAAGTGCGCCATTTTGGGCCCAACGCCCGGCAGTGCCACCAGCTCTGCCACAGAGGCTGGGATGTCCCCACCATACTTCTGCTGCAGGATGGCACTGGTCTGCTTGATGTACTTCACCTTGCTCTGAAAAATGGGGGAGAGGAGGTCAAGTGCTGGAGGTGGGAGTGGAGTCCAACCTGGGAGGACAAGACCCCAAGAAGAATCACAGGTGCCCAAAGCTTCCCGGGACACACTCAGTGTACCTGTGCCCCTAGGACAGCGAGCTGCAGTTTGCCGCTCTGTTGGCTAATGAGCTTGCCGACCACTGCCCTAGGAGGTAGGAATGAACCAAGGAAACAGGCAGCCTGAGGGAGGCCCAATGCATGCCTGCCTTCCACCTGTTTGGGCCAATGGCATATCTTTGGGGTCCAGCTTGGGCTCCCCCCGCCCCATCATTACCCCCAGAGGCCAGGCAGGCTAAGCAGGCCCGGCCAAGCCAGGAGCTGGGTTCAGCAGCACCTGGACCTTCAGGAAGGAAGGCTGGAGTCTGGGGTTCCCTGCCTGCCAACAGGCCAGCAGGGCGGTTCCCATCCTGTGCCTGAGCAGACAGGGCTATTTAAAACCCATCTGACACACTGCAGCCGCACCAGTGCCTGGGGAAGTGCCACACCCGCCTGGCCCCCTTCAATAGAGCTGCCTCCCGGCCACCCTGGGCCGCGGCCTCTCAAGGGGAGGGTGTGACACACTCCAGGGAAGCTCGGAGTAAACAAAGGGAACGCTGGACAGGCAGCCTCAGTGAGAAAGGGAAGGGCCGGGCAGCTGGGTGGGGAGGTGGAGGAAGGAAGGGGTGGGCTGCAAACAGGAAAGGCCAAGGAGTTACGAGGCCTGGACTTGAGGCCCCACTGCCTGGCCCCCCGTGGGCTGCTCAGAGGGACAGGGGACTCCAGTGAGAACTCATATCCAGGCCTTTGTGGCCAGAAATGTCCAACCCAGCCTCCTGCCACTCCCAGCTGCCCTCCAGCCGCCCTCAGCACCTCAGTGTCTTTTCCAGGCCAGAGGCAACCCTGGCCCCGGTTGCCCCAGGCTGGGCTCACCCTCCAGAAGCCCACGGGGTAGATGAGTGTGCCCAGGGTGCTGTCGTCTGTCTTCAGGATGTCATCCACCGTCAGGCCCCGGGCCCGCAGCCGCTGCATGGCACCCGCCGTCACCTGGTCTTTGGTCTGGCTGGAGAGCATCAGGGACAGCAGCACCTGGTACCTCCGCACCTGCTCACAGTGACAGGGACCAGAAAGATGGTCGGTCCCGGGTGCTCACTGTGGGCCAGGCTCTAGCCACGTCCTTTACCCACGTGGGAGCAGACCGGACGCCAGCTTCCTCCCCACCCTGGCCAATGGGGGGAGGTGTGTAGGGTCTGGTCTGGGCCTGCTTTTCATCTATATCATGGGGACAATGATAGCACCTGCCTCTCGGCATCACCATGAAGCTTAAATGAATGTTCACTACACTGAGACGTGTACCTGGCACAAAGTCAGTGCAGCAACCACTGGCTGTTACTGTTCTATGTGAATGATGCTACTAGCCATTTTTTTAAAAATATATATTTTATTGATTTTTCACAGAGAGGAGGAGAGAGGGATAGAGAACTAGAAATGTCAATGAGAGAGAAACATTGACCAGCTGCCTCTCGCACACCCCCTACAGGGGATGTGCCCGCAACCAATCGAACCTGGGACCTTTCAGTCCACAGACCGATGCTCTATCACTGAGCCAAACCGGTTTCGGCAGCTACTAACCATTTTTGCAGACAAGCGAACTGAGGCCCAAGTCACCCAGTGAAAGAACTGGGATTAAATTCACCTTGATCAAAGGACCAGGCTCTGGGCTAAAGAAATGCCAAAACCGGTTAGTGCGTTGGCCTGTGGACCGAAAGTCCCGGGTTCAATTCCGGTCAAGGGCATGTACCTTGGTTGTGGACACATCCCCAGTAGGGGGTGTGTAAGAGGCAGCTGATCGAAGTTTCTCTCGCATCAATGTTTCTAACTCTCTATCCCTCCCTCTTCTTCTCTGTAAAAAAATCAATAAAGTAAAAATTAAAAAAAAGAAGTGCAAAAAACTCTTTCTCTATCAGCAAATTTACTGAATACAGTGCAGGCAGAAGGCAGAGCACGAGGCCTCATGCCACAGGGCCCCCTGACCTGCTGACTGGCCACAGTGAAGCAGGTAATGCTGCCCAGTGAGTGCCCTGGGTGCCAGCTGTGCATCCTCTCAGGGTGGTGTCAGCTAAGAGCTGCCAGGTGTCAGGCCTGAAAGGAAACAAGCGTCTTGTGCAGAAGAGGGTCACCAGGCAGACGGGCCCTCCCTACCTTCGGGGGAACACTGGGGTCATAGCAGTGCTCAGCCCCCAGCTGGTCCACAGGTGCGTCCTTCTCACTCCTCATGGTGCGGATGTTTGCCAGCTGCTGCTGCCAGTCCTGAGGCTCCCAGCTTGGCACCTTGATGCCCTCTCCTTTCTCACCACCTGAGGCTTCATACGCCACTTTCAGGCGTTGTGCCTTCCGCTGACGCTTCACGGGGTGGTGGCTTTTCCTTCCTTCTGCAAAAAGATGTCGCTTCAGTGGGGGACATAGGTAAGGATAAGGTGATGCCCTAACTGCTCTCTCATCTCTCATCATTCGTTCTTTAAAAAAAAAATAATAATAAGTATATATATTATTGAATTTTTACAGAGAGGAAGAGAGAGGGATAGAGTTAGAAACATCAATAAGAGAGAAACATCCATCAGCTGCCTCTTGCACGCTCCCCACTGGGGATGTGCCTGCAACCAAGATATAGGCCCTTGACTGGAATCGAACCTAGGACCTTTCAGTCTGCCAACGCTCTATCCACTGAGCCAAACTGGTTTTGGCACATCATTTCATCATTCTTTTGACAAGCATCCATCATCCATCATCTACTACTGGGGAGGGGGTATGCTGTCTTCTGTAGCACACACCGGGACAGGTCAGCCTTCTTTGTGCCACTGCCCCCCTTGACCAAGTCCAAGTTAACAGATGAGAACTCTGGTTTAACAGCCTCTACCATGATGCCCCTTAATCTAGTCTCCACACTGTCAGGGAGAACTTTGTAAGATCAAAATTGGATTGTGTCACTTCCTGTGTTAAAATCCTCATTGGTTTTTCCTTGTGCTCATAATGAACATAAACTCTGTCCTGGCATCAAAGCTCCTGCCTATCTGGCTGGACTTGCCCCCCCCCTCACCACCACCACCCCCCCCCTCCGCCTTCTTCCTTCTGGCCCGTTCCTCCAGCTGTGCTTCTGGTGGGTCTCCTTTTCTGGACTACCCCGGGGGTCCTTGGGTGCCTATGGGAATCCCCTTCTGGCCAATCCTGCAGACATCTCTAGCAAGGAGAGAGAACTTCTGGCTAAGGATGTCTTGGGCACCCGACTTCTCTGAGAGGTAAGCAGCTATGACAATAGGGCCAATCTGCCCCACAGAGAGCTTTGGCGCAAGTGGACCATTCCAGGACAGGCTGCTGACACCCAGAGAACGTCCTAGTTTAGGATGAGGGTCGGAGTAGTGTGAGCTCCTGGAACCCAGCCCTTGACTCCTGGGAAAAGGGTGCTAGGTGGGAACCCAGCAGCATGTAGGGCCGAGGAATTTGCTTGCTGCCGCCGGGTCTGCGGCGTTCGATGTCCGAATCCCCCCCCCCCCCGTACCCCCCACCCCCACGCAGCTCGGAGCCCTCCAGGGCGGCTCGGGACTCCAGCCCTCGGTCCCTTACAGTTTCCTCCCTCTCCCCTCCGCTCTTTCCCTGGCCGGGTCGGGGCGCTACCTGCAGCCGACTTTCCCCTTGGGAGCGGCGCGGCCTCTTCCCCACTCCCCCTCGGCCCGACCCCAGGTCCCCGGCTCCAGCTGCGGGTCACCATCCTCGTGCCCGCGGTGTTCATGTTGAACTCCTGCGGACTACACATCCCGGCGGCCCCCCGCGGCGCTGTCATGTGACTCGTGCTTCACCCATTCTTTTGGCCAAGGGAAGACTGGAACTACGACTCCCAGCAAGCCCTGCGGCGGCCTCGGACGCCGACCGCTGCGTCAGCGCGCGTTTCCGGCGGCAGGTCGGGGCAGGGGTGTGTGCTACCTTCTCCGCGCCGGGACCGCCCGGCCCCGCGCGCGCGGGCGCGGCTCGGAGTGAGTGCCTCGAGGTTCCCCGACCATTGATGCCCGCCCAGACCGCGGGGTGGCCCGGCCCCGAGGGGAGGCGGCCGCGCCGGGCCTACTCGGTGATGAGGCGGCGGGGGCGGCCCCCGCGGTGGCCAGGGCCCGAGTCCGGATCTAGGCCGCGCCCCCCTTAGCCTGACCCGGGAGCTCCAAGGCTCTCTATGGTTTTAAGTCATGGCCGGTGAAAGGGGGTTCCTGCTTCCCGCGTCCCTCCGAGAGTCCTTTACACGGAGGGGAGACAGGGCTAATGTCAGGGCTTCCTAGGACCCGCGGTGCCCACCCTTCACTCCCAGTTCCCCTTCCTCACCCCTTGCACCAAGGGGCGGGCGGCCTGGCGTTTCCACGTTTATTTCCGGCCTGGGCACTGTGGCTGCGGTTGAGTTCTCGGGGGCTGTGGGAGGGAAGGTGCCCACCAGAAGGCCAGGGCTCCGGGTGGCTGTAGGTCCTCAGGGGCAGGTGTGTGGAGTTGTTTGTGAGATCCCTGCCTGTTGCTCCCCCGCACAGAGTCCCATGTTGCTTTCCTACCCACCATGGCCAAACCAACCAGCAAAGATTCAGGCTTGAAGGAGAAGTTCAAGATTCTGTTGGGACTGGGGACTTCGAGACCAAATCCCAGGTCTGCAGAGGGCAAGCAAACGGAGTTTGTCATCACAGCGGAGATCCTGAGAGTGAGTGAGCTGCCTGTGTCTTCCCTGCTGGCCTGGGAGGTGCAAGGAAGGCCGGGTTTGGTCTGTCCACAGGTTCTGAGGGAGATGAGTTGCTGGTGACAGGCAGTATGGGGCTGCTGCCCCCAGTACCAGGGAGGCTTCCATGGCTTTTTTTCCTGGAGATTTAGGAAGTCAGAATCTTGAGACTTGGTTCAGCATCTGAATTAGTATTCCAATGTCAATTCAAGAAAACCTGTTTTATGATATGAGTGCCATAGTCTCCACAGGTGATTAGGGTTATGACCACGTGTAAACTAGTAATTTGTGAGTTCCTGTGAGAAGTCTTTATTTTTCGTCTTTATTTGAATCTCCCTATGTTCCTGACACCATACTTTATCTATAGATAAATGTTGTCTTTGTACTTTTGTTATTATTTTTATTTTTGAAAAACATTTATTGATTTTAGAGTAAGAGGAAGTGTATGTGTAGGGGGGAGAGAGAAACATCAATTTGTTGTTCCACTTATATATGCATTCATTGGTTGCTTCTTTTTTTTTTCCCATTGGTTGCTTCTTTTCTTTTCTTTTTTTTTTATAATATATTTTATTGATTTTTTTACAGAGAGGAAGGGAGAGAGATAGAGAGCTAGAAACGTCGATAAGAGAGTAACATCGACCAGCTGCCTCCTGCACCCCCCCCACTGGTGTTGCTTCTTATGTGTGCCCTGACTGGGGATCAAACCCACAACCTTGGCATATCTGGATGATGCTCTAATCATCTGAGTACCCAGCCAGCACTTAGCTTTTGCACTTTTATTTAAAATTTTTTTTATGGGTTTTAGAGAGAAGGGAGAGGGAGAAAGAGATAGAAACGTCAATGATGAGAGAGAATCATTGATCAGCTGCCTCCTGCACATCCCCACTGAGGGTCGAGCCAGCAACCTGGGCATGTGCCCTGACCAGAAATCGAACCATGTCACCTCCTAGTTCATAGGTTGATGCTCAGTCACTGAGCCACACAGACAAGGCAGCTTTTGCACTTTTAAAGTATCCCAATCAGGAACTAGAACGCATATTCATCACATGGGGAGTTATCCCTTGAATAACACAGATTTGAACTGCACATGTCTACTTAAATGCAAATTTTGTGTGTGTGTGTTTTTTTTAAATTGAATTTATTGGGGTGACATTGGTCAATAAAATTATATAGGTATCAGGTGTACATTTCTTAATACATCATCTGTATATTGCATTTTACCACCACAAGTCAAGCCTCCTTAAACCCAGGTTTTTAAAAAACCATGTGTAAGTGGACGCTCAAGTTCAAGCCCAGCATTGTTCAAGGGCCAACTGTATAAACAAAATGTGATTCAGCCATACAAAGGTGTATTGCATGACAAAAAGGAACAAAGTGCTCATACATGTTAATTACAACATGGGTGAACCTTGAAAGCATGCTAAATGAAAGAAACTAATCACAAAGGTTCACATAATGTGTAATTCCATGTATATGAAATATCAAGAATAGGCAAGCCCATAGAGACAGAAAGTAGATTAGCCTTTGTCAGGGCCTGGGTGGGGAAAGGAATGGAGAGTGACTGCTAAGGGGTATGAGGTTTCCTTTTGAAGTAATGAAAATGTTCTATAATTAGTGGAGGTGGTTACAAGCATTGCAGATATGAATGCTAAAACATAAATTGTATGATTTAATTTTTTTATTAATAAAGGGTGGGGAAGAAACTGATTTGTTGTTCCACTTATTTATGCATTCATTAGTTAATTCTTTTTTTTCAAATATAATATATTTTTTATTGATTTTTCACAGAGAGGAAGGGAGAGGGAAAGAGAGTTAGAAACATCGATGAGAGAGATACATCGACCAGCTGCCTCCTGCACACCCCCCATCGGGGATGTGCCCGCAACCAATGTACATGCCCTTGACCAGAATCGAACCTGGGACCTTTCAGTCTGCAGACCAACGCTCTATCCACTGAGCCAAACCGGTTTCAGCATGGTTAATTCTTGTATGTGTCCTGACCGGGGATCAAACCTGCAACCTTGGCATATCGGGCTGAAGCTCTAACCAACTGAGCTACCCCACCAGAGCCTTAATTTATTTTTTTTAAAAAATATATTTTATTGATTTTTCACAGAGAGGAAGAGAGAGAGGGAGAGTTAGAAATATCAATGAGAGAGAATCATCGATCAGCTGCCTCCTGCACACCCCCCACTGGGGATGTGCCTGCAACCAAGGTATATGCCCTTGACCGGAATCAAACCCGGGACCTCTCAGTCCGCAGGCCAATGCTCTATCCACTGTGCCAAACAGGTTTTGGCCAAAGCCTTAATTTATGGTTTAAAGTGGTGAGTTTTATATGATGTGAATTTATCACAATAAAAAGATGCAGTGATGGGAAAAAAAAAAGTCTGTTTTCACTCCACTGAATGGAGTAATGCCTAATTTCAGAAGGTCTGCTGCAAGTCTCCGGAGTGGGAAATATGCGGCAGTTCTTAGGGTGTCTGTGCTTGGCCGTTAGGAGAACAGTTGCCTGATGGCCCCTTTTCTGTCTTTTACTTTTTCCAGGAACTGAGTGTTGAATGTGGCCTCAACAATCGCATTCGGACGATAGGGCAGGTCTGTGAATTTGCAAGAACGAAAAAATTTGAAGAGGTAGGTCTGTCTCAGTTGGGTTACTTCATGTTAATGACTCGAAGCTTCTGGAAATGCCCTGAGCACAACCCTGAGTGACCAATCCCTCACCAATCCTTCACCAATATTCAGGTTCCATCCAGAGACCACATTTTCAAGGTCCTCTGCATCTCATCCCACATTGCGGGATGTGCTCGAAATCAAGACGGAGACGGAGAGCAAAGGGATTAAGTCTTTCTCAGCAGATTTGAGAAAGGGGTTGTAGTAGTTTCTAGAAATGTTCTTGTTCTCTCTCTCTTTTTTTTTTTTTTTTTTAAATAGGTATCATTTAAAATATATATATTTTATTGACTGAAATCAAATCTGGGACCCTCTATCCTGAGTCCACAGGCCGACGCTCTATCGACTGAGCCTAACTGGTTGGGCCTTACTTGTCCTCTTTTTTTTTTTTTTTTTTAATATTAAGTCTTTATTGTTCAGATTATTACAGGTGTTCCTCTTCCCCCCCCCCCCCCATGGCTCCCCTTCACCTGATTTCCCACCCCACTACATGCTCTTACCCCCTGCCACTGTCTTCATCCATAGGCATAAGATTTTTGTCCAATCTCTTCCTACACCCCTCAGACTCCCTTCCCTCTGAGGATTGTCAGTCCACTCCCTTTCTATGTCCCTGATTCTATTATATTCATCAGTCCATTCTGTTCTTCAGGTTTTTTATTCACTTGGTTTTTAGATTCACTTGTTGGTAGGTATGTCTTTTTATTGTTCATAGTTTTTACCTTTACCTTTTTCTTCGTCTTCCTCTTCTTAAAGAATACCCTTCAGCATTTCATGTAATCCTGGTTTGGTGGTGATGAACTTCTTTAGCTTTCTCTTGTCTGTGAAGCTCTTTATCTGACCTTCAATTCTGAATGATATCTTTGTTGGGTAGAGTAATCTTGGTTGTAGGTTCTTGCTGTTCATCACTTTGAATATTTTTTTTTCTTCAAGTTTTAGCATGGCGCACATGACAATGTTAATTGTCCAGAGTATCCCAATTTCTGGACATCTCATTGGTCACGTAGGTCTCACAATCTATCAAGTTTATGGTCCTTTAGCCCTTCAAACCAAAAATTCTCAACCATCATCATACATTTTTTTTTTTTAAATATGTTTTATTGATTTTTTAGAGAGAGGAAGGGAGAGAGAGAGAGAGCTAGAAATGTCGATGAGAGAGAAACATCAACCAGTTGCCTCTTGCACACCCCCTATTGGGGATGTGCCCGCAACCAAGGTACATGCCCTTGAGTGGAATCGAACCGGGACTTTTCAGTCCGCAGACCGATGAGGTTTCGGCCATACATTTTTTTTTGGACAAGGGATATGAATGTTCTTCCTATGGAAAATATCTCATAAGACACTATAAAACATTTGCTAAATAAATAAGTAAACAAATAAAGAGTAGATGATCAGTGTGT